TAATAATAATAATAATAATAATAATAATAATAATAATAATAATAATAATAACGATAATAATAATTATGATAATAATAACAACAATAACAATAATAATAGTGCAGGATAACATTTAACGAGAAAACCACGCGCGATGCGACGACCACCGTGGAATCAGTGGGATTTATTGCCATTTCGAAAAAGAAAGAAACGGGAAAGATACACGCACGGAGTATCGTCGAAGACCTAAGGCGCTTTATGGCGTACGCTCTGCGCACAAGTTTAAGTTTAAGAAATTACAAAGTTGTTCATAAAATGTTGGTAAAGGAAATTTTTTTCATTTCGTTCCGCAATCTTGAAACTTTCTTCCAATTCTTTTTTGTAGAATGCAGAAACTCCACATCGCATTGAAAAATCATAAATAACTAAATTTAACTCTTTCTTTTTTTTTTTTTTATTCTTTTGAAGTATCTACACACTCGTTGGTTAAGAGCTTTTATTTTATTGTTCTCGCAGAAACGTTTTTGTGCGTAGTGACGTGTCGTCGTTCTTCGCTGATACTTCGTGCACGATTCCACAGAGGAAACGATATCCTCAAAGTTTCTCATCAGCCAGTCGCTGTACACGAGACGAAAAAAAAAAAAAAAAAAAAGAAGAAAAAGAATCCGATGAAAGGAAACACATTCAACTGGCGTGACTTCTCAGGCAGCTCGAAGAAGTCGTCAATGGTTTCCTTTTCATTTCACTGGTTTATTCTTGTGTTCATTCGTGTTCATCCATCGAACGAACGAACCACTCGAATTTTCGCATTTAGAATCCCATCTCAGAGTCCCTTCCTCCGCGTATATCTTGTTTTACGAAAAAAATTTTTTTTTAAATAAATAAATCTAAAAATAGCTTTGAAGTCAGAATTCTTCCAAATTCTGTTCTGTCAGTGGGAAGCGATTGTGTCTTCTTCTTCTCCTTCTTCTTTCTGACAAAATTCTAACGATTCGTTGAAAACTACGCGAAGAAGGGGACCAGAAGTTATTAACACGGAGCATTATATCGATCGTTCGGGGCTAGAGGTTTTCAAACAGGATTCTTAATCGAATCCGAAATCATAGCGTTCGAATGTGATTAGATTGTGTTTAAAAAGGAGAGAAAAAAAAAAAAGGAAAGAATTATAAAATGAATAACTGTACGTCATGCGACACTTTGGCCGTTGGCGTGTTAATTATTAATGACGATTATGACCATGATTATGCTGCTTTCAACATGTACAGTATCGAATAAAAATTACAGTGCGTAGTCAGAAAAAAAAAAAAAAACAGACAGCTGTAGAGAGCAAAAGGAAAGAAAAATCAAAGTGGAAACTTTCTGTGCGACTCTATTTTGGGTACGATCGTGTTAGACGCGCGTTTTCTGCTCGTCAAGAAATTTCATCTCGATGCGCGTATATATATATATA